CATCGCCCCGTCCCTCCCCCTCGCCCGTCCAGCCGGCGCCGCGACGCAGAAGTTTGGTGGCGCCCTCCCACTCCTGCGCTTTGACTCGGCCGCGTAGCCGGGAGCCCTCTGCCTTCCGCCCTCCCGCCCTCTCCAGCTCTCCTCCGACCCCGCTTGATAACTCTTTTGATTTTCAATCCGCCCCACAACCGCATTGCCACCGAAACTGACAAAAAAGGATATTGGTGTTGAGGCAAAGCAGGGCTTAAAACAAATAGGCTCTGATTGAATCCGTAATGCCTCCGAGGTTTGTGTTCTTTGCTGAGTTACTGCTCTGATTTAATTGACTCGTTTTTTAAACAATTTGAATGTTAGTAGGGAAACAGTTATCTTCACTGAATAGAAAGAATAACTGTTCATAGTATAATGTTAGAGGTAAGGGAACATTAATAATTTCACTTGTTCACTGAAGAAAAAGAACGAAGAGTTGAATGCGAGTTCTCAGAATCAAAACAGATAAAGTACATAATTATTTTTTTATAAATAATTAATGAAAATGTTATTTCCAGTGTTTCCTTCTAATCTCCTATGCGTTTCCAAAATAACTAGAATGAAAGCAACGTAATTTTGATCTTGTAGGCCAACATCGTATTTCACTATTCAGTCTCCCTAGGATTTAATTGAGCCAGTCAGCCTAATGGTAGAAAATGTGTTATTTGGAAACATGACCCTTTCAATTATTGTGTGCTCCGAGCAGAGGATGAAACTATATTTACAGGTTCTAAAACCGTTGAATATAGCCGAAAACCCTTTCACTGTGCAAAATACACTTTTCTCCTGTCAGCCGAGTACGCGTTGGAAGTTCAGTTCAGTGAATGCTCTTCGAAATTCGGAATAACTTTTCGAACAATTAGGTTTTTAATTTTGTTCCTACATCAATCAGATTCAAATAAATTAACACAACTAAAATAATATTGTATTAATTGATGCAAAGCATGTGAAAAATTAAAACTAATTCTCTGCTAGAGGAATTAGAACTGCCATGCATAACATTTTTAGAAAGAGATTTGGCAAAACATATCATTATCTTGATTTTCAGAATCAATCTGCCGCGTCCACCTCACAAAACAATATTTTCAACAGGACATTTTGACTTTTAACTAACACTAATGCTTTTAATTTTTGCTCTGGTAGCTTTATGAAGAGATATAAAACCAATTATTGCCTTCACTTTACGTTATCATTCTGAGAAGGATAGTCTGGACGAGAATAAAATAAAATATTTGGTTTAAAATACTTTTAAAAACTTACTCATGCAATTAGAATGCAATTCAGCTTAGTGTGAAGTCTTAAATGAAAAACACTCGGAAGAAAAGAGAATGTTCGGAATAGTGGCGGCCGGTGGGTTGAAAATCAAGAGGTGGCGGCATATATTTTGGGCGAACGATCTCTCACATTTTACCTCTTCAAAATATTTCTTGAGCGAGGAAAACTACAAAATGTAGTGTACAACTGTTTTGCATGCATCGCAATCCTTGTCTAAAGGCGGCTCCACACCTGCGGC